TTACAAATTCAAGCCTCTCAAACAACATGTGCTGTGGTCAGGCTCAACCGCAGGTTGTCAGTGATGACTTCTGATCTATGAGGTTCTAAGTTACCCTGTCGGTCACACGAGTAGTGAAGGACTTTACTCAGTACTCAACTACCAGTTTATGGATAGCTTCAGAGGCAGACACACCAGATTCAAATGCTGCTCTCTCTCTTACAGAGTAACTCCTGCAAATCTTCCATTTCTATGTGCCTCAGTTTCCTCATCTTTAATATGGAGTTGATAACAGGAGTGCCCACTCATGCCATCCTGGTGAAGATTAAGCTACCTGCTATATTGGAAGTGTGTGATGTGTAGTAAGCTCTCATAAGTGGTAGCTATAATTAAAGCTCATTAAGGGCAAATTCTTTAGGGCAGAGTGAACTCTCAATAGGTCGCAAATCAAATAGAGTTCACCATCAGAATCTTCAATTCATACAACTTTATTCTTTTGCATAAAACTATTATATTAATTGGGAGACTAAATGGGATTTAAATTGTGATCCATAATCTTTTCCATATAAATTAACTCTTAATGAAAGGAGAAAAATGCCTTTGTCAGATGAAGTGACTGTGGCTGGATTAAAATTTAGAGATACCAATACAATTGACCTGCCTCCAAAAAGCTCTCAGATTTCTCTACCCCATGCTCCTGGCACACTGCAGCCAAAAGACCCTAGAACTGAAAAAATGAAAGGGAAATGAAWGTTTATCTGGCTGAGGTCCTGACTTGGAGCCTGAGGGCCTTTGGGTCCTAATGCTACTGTTGGCTGCATGATCTTGGATAAGGCACTTCACTTCCGGGCCTCTGTTGTCCCACCTGCAAAACTGGGAAAAGTAATAACATCTATCTCACACAGGGAAGGGGGGTTGAGGGATGAAGACAATGCATGTAAAGTGCTTGGGACCAAGGAGACGATTCACAAATGGTGGCTATTGTGGTTTCTCTTGATTCCCTTTCATGAGAGGCTCACACTTGCTCCTAGCAGCAGAAGGAACTGGACAGCCTCTTACTTGTAATACCTCAACATCTTCCAAAGGGTTCAACTTTCATAAAACCATGGTTTGGTACCATTCCATTGAGTTCCAACCACTCCATCCTTCTTAAGAACCTACCATTACTGTCAAAACATCCAATTTTCCCAATAAACATACTTACAAATTATTAAAGGAGTATAATAAATTATCTGCATTGTCCAATTAATGAAAGAGACCCTTCAATCCCAGCTCATGGAAGAGTCTTAGTGGACGATCCATCTTCTCTGATCCAATCCAATCTTATTTGGCCTGCTGTAGCTTGGAAATGGTGATAAAGTTGCAGCAACCACTTGGCTTCAGGTGACTCTTAGGGAAGAGATTTGCTGGAAACTTTCCAATGTGTGGTGAAAAAGGCATGTTTGCAAAGAGTTGCATACAATGGAGGCAGGACACTCTTGGCTACCGACCATCTCGTAGGACTTGATTCTGAAGCATTGGCTGAAAAGAACCCAAATGAGCCTGTAGTTGTGAGTTGTCCCCTTGTGTGATCTTCATAAGGTAGCACCAGTCTTCCCAGAGGTCCGTGGATTCTGGCACAGTCTCCCAAGTACCATCACAGTCCTTTGCCCATTTGAGCTTTTTATCACCCCAAGGCAATTGGTAAACAGCTCCATTTTACAGATACGGAAAAACAAAGGTGCAGAGAGGTTTAATAACTTGTCCAAGGTCACTCAACTAGTAAGAGGCACGCCCACTGTGAAAAATCATAAAGAATGGAATCTCCGTATTTGGAGATTTGGGCTCATTCCACTTTTAGGAATCTCAGAATGTCCTGTTCACACTCTGAAAACAGAAGATTCCATGAGGGAAGGAAAACTGTGTCTATTCCTCAGCCCTTCTCCAAGCCAAAGTTAGTACTGGCCAAACCTGGATCAGGTAAAATTTTGTTGGGGTCTCTTTTTGCCCTCTGCCTTGCTTTTATGGCTGCCACTGGGCTGATGTGAGGTTTAGTGGGAGTTACCATAAGAGGAGGCTTGGAACAGTCTTTAGGGGTCAGACAGCCTGGGGTCTAGTCTGGGTTCTGCCCCTTAAAGCTATGTAACCTTGGACAAGTACCTCTCCTTTTCTAGGCTTTAACATGAGAATAAAAATTAATAATCAATAACTTTTGTTGAGTGCTTGCCACATGCCAGGTGTTACCTTAAGCTCTTTTTTTTCCCTTCTTTCATCTTTCCTTTGCATTCTTTCAACAGCCCTATGAGGTAGAATGTGTCACGGTTCCTATTTTCAGATGAGGAAACACTAATAATAAAATTTTAAAAACCCTGAACTGGTGGGAMAAATATATCTATGCAGAGTTTCAGCTCAGCGTTCCTCAGAGGCCTTCACCTGGGCTGGGGCCAGCACATCTCCTTTCAAGGGTGAAATGGGAATATTTTAGGCTTTCTGGGCCACAGTCTCTTGCGAATCATTAACTCTGTCATTGTAGCCTGCCAGCGGCCATAGATAATATGCAAATGGCAGCTGTGCTTGCTTCTATAAAACTGTACAACCCAGGCAGTGGGTTGCATTTGGCCTGTGGTCTGTAGTTTGCTGGTCCTTGACCTAGGTGAATGGCTTCTCCTACCTGTTAGGGCCAATCCTGTTAACGTGCCTTACTTCCCCTCTCTTCCTGTCTTCTGTCTTAAAAGTACCTGAGCCCAACTTGCTGGAGGGCTGACCTAAAGGAACAATGGAAGATGAGGATACAGGAAATTTGTGGACACCGCACAGACTAGGGAAGCTCACTGGTACTATCAGCCAGTGAAGTGACAACATGCTGGCAGGGACAGTTACCGGGGTCTGATTGGCAGAGGGGTCACAGTTCTCAAGGGCACAGAAGGAGAGAGACTTGCCTGGGTGAAACCGAGCCCCCAGATGGTGATTGGGATAAAGGAAACAGGTCCAGACAGTAGAAAGCATTAAACGGGGCCCAGGAGGAGCCCTGTGTTAAGGGCTCATCTCCACCTCAAGGAGAATGCAAACGCAAAGGAAAGCAGGGACAGAGACCTGGAAAACACAGGGCAATGGAGATGGGGCTGGAGAAAAACCTCGGTTCATGACTAATGGTAGAATGGGGCCACCAAAACCCAGGCCCCCTGGGGTGGGCCAGGCACAAAGCTAACAAGAGCCAGGCCTCTGGCTGAGCCCAGGTAAGGAGTCAGCAAAACCCCTCCCTACCAGGGAAAGCAGTCAGGGCCACATCCTGTAGCCTGCTTCTGGAACCCTCTTCAGGAATCCTTGCACAAAAAGAGAATGTCACAAGTTGGCTTTCGCTGAGCCCACTGGGCATGTCAAAAAAGACCTGGTGCTTCACTGAATCCTTTCCAATGTAACAGACATTAATTATCATTAAACACAGACTCCCAGAGCCTGGCTGCACAGACACTGCACATACTCTCAAAGCTGTCACTTTGAAAGTGAGATAAACAGATGCACAATTTACTGTAACACAAGACACAACGTTCACAGAAGCACAGCCAGGCTCCACTGGGCCTATGTGGGAGGTCCTCCTTTCAGCAGAACTGTTAGTAAAATACTCGGGAAGATCACTTCTATCTGTGCTCCTAATACAGGGCCCAAAAGTTCCCTGCAAGTTTTCATAGAATGAACATCTGCCACGCTGTCTTTCTGGAACTCACGTGAAACACTCACACTGCCAAGGCCTCGTTTTCCTTAGAGAAGCATGAAGGTAACAGCATGAAGCCTCCCTGAAGAAAAGGGAGGCGCTCCCTAACCAACGTGGGGGGGGGAATGCTCTCATGCCCTTCAAGTCCTCTGAGAGAAGGGACTTGGAATCAATATTGTATCTAACTCACCACATTACCTGAAAGAAAGCCTCTTCCTCTTACTAACTGCAAATTTAAGAAGAGTTAGAAGATGTAAAATTTAGAAGAAATGGCTGCCAGGAACTAAACTCTAGCTCTATAAACTGATTTTTAAGAAACCCCAGTCTCACAAAGATAATAAAAAATGCATTTAATAGCATGTCAATATACAGTTTAAATGTGTAGTAAGTCTTCTTTTAAGTCAGTGCATTACAGGGATAAAGAGGAGAAATTTCATTTGGAATGCACAGCCAGACGCGAGGTGTGCGTGGTGGGGATCTTGGTGCTCTCACACTACTAAAACTCCATGTAGAGGTGTCACTCCAGTGCTGTGCTCTGTGCCAACCAATGCAGGACTCGTTTGGTCCAGTATGAGATCTACAGCTTTAAGTCAAATAGTATACAAGTATTAACCAAAGAGTAAAATTTATTATTCACAAAACTAAAGTGGTTATCATAAAGCTTACAAGAAAGTACAGCCTAAAACTAATGAGTTGAAAAACTAGTTTTAAAAATAATAAAACTTACTGGACAGGTTTGGAAAATGGTATTATAAAACAAAGAAAACAACTGGCACAGTTTGACCACCTAATTTCTAAGTGCACTTTGTAACGTTCCTTGCAAGCTGCCACTTTTCCCAGGATAATGACAAAAAAGCTTCAGTCAGGTGTCACTGGCTTATGGTGACAGGTTTTTGTTTGTTTGTTTGTTCTTTTTTTTATTGCATTGCCAAGAGTAGATTTTAAGAAAAAACACTACAAAGGTTTCAAAAACCCTATTTATTCTCTATCATCAAAAATAGCAACAGGGGGACTTATACAACTTTTCTGTGAGTACCCACCAGTCTATTTTTTTTTCTTAAAAAAAATAGAAGTTAGTTAAAGAAAAATGATTTGGTTTTTAAAAAATAATGTAAGGAAACACTTAATCAGATAGCCCAAGGAGTCATCAGAAATATGTGTAGCAAGAAAGCGTCATTGTGGCCCTCTCCGGCCTTTGCACGTCTTTTACTAAACTAGGAAGAGGATGTACAGTACCAATATGTCCCCAACCTGCTTGGATCGAATCGTTTTGTTTTGAAACCCATTATTGCTAAACCAGAGTGTTGTCACTGAGAGCCGAGGAGTCCACTCATAGAGGATAAAATTGAGAGGCTGCTTCAGAGGACTGGATCTCCACCTGGGCCATTTTGAACTGGGTGCACTGCAGCCACTTGCGGAGGGCCACCAGGCCAGCACTACTCTGACCTGAGCCCGGCAGCGTCCTTAGGCTGTGGTGGTTCACGTGGTTCTGAATGGCCTGGAGGCGAAGCTGGAGGCCCGCAGACAAGTGCTGTTAAGAAAAGACACAATGTTAGCTCCTTCCTGCTGGGGCCCAGGCAACCCCGGAGAATCGGATCGCTCGGGGCTGCTCTGCAGGCAGGGCCCTGCTCAGCTCCAGGGCTCTCTGGACTAAGAAGGGAAGCTCTCAAATCTGGCAATACTCAGGGTGGGGGACATGGGACAGTCCCACTTCCAGAGTCACAGAAGCCAAACTCCATCCAAATAATGACATGCCCGTCTTGACTGACTCTCTGAAACAGGAAAGCAAAGCTGACAAACCAGTGGCTGGGCTGACACTTGCGCTTGTCTCTGGCAGCTATTCACCACACAGGCCTGGCTTTGTGGTTAGTGCCCGACTCCCTGGCTTCACATCCTGACCCTTGGCTCATCAATCTGGGTCAGGGGTTCCTCCAAGGCAGGGGTGGAGGTGGGAGAATAGTAACACTTCCTTCAGGGGCTTCTGTAAAGCCCAAGTGGGTTGCAGAGTGTTAGAGGATATGCCATGGTGGGTGCCCATTACATCTTAACATATTACAATCTCTGTCCTCATGTCAGGGCATGGAAAGGCCAGCCAGACAGTTCTTCTTCCTTCTCCTAGCTCCCCAGCAAGTCGTGCAGGCCTCTTCAGCTCGTTCTGTGAAGCAGAGGAACAGCAGCTCTGATGCTTCCAGGGGAGTATGGGCCACTCCGCTTTCCACAGGGAAAACTAGTGCCTGGTATGAAAGAAGGTCTCCCACACTGCAGATGCCCTGCACGGCCAGTGGCCACAAATAGTCCTGATGCCACAATCAGGACACAAGGCTGCCAGCACTGTTGACAGCTGCCTGCCCTCTTTCTATGCCTGGCAATTGGTCAGGCTCCCTGTGACCCTCTTCCTTCCCCAGCTTGGAGGGGAAATCCAGCAAGAGAGCTGCTGGCCTCCCCCCAGCCTCCATACTCCTAGCACTGTGATGTGGTGGTCTTGGATGGAGTGGGTGGTTGGCTCCGCCAACTTGCTGTCAAGCCCCAGGAACTACATTTGCTAGCCACGAAGTATGCTTACAATGACAGGACATCACTCCAGGTGAGGCCTGGGATTGGGACATAGATTTGATCGGGGTCTTCCCCCTCCAGGCTGTGGGACCCTATCCAAGTCCCTCTTCCTTTTGGTCTCATATGTCCTCATATATAAAACGAGGGGATAGGTTCCTTCTAGCTCTATTTGGTCATTCACTTAATGTTCTTAACAGAATTTTGCCCATCACAAAAAAATCAATCTTAGTGGTCAGGAAACACCACTAATGTGCTTGGGACCAGATCCCATGGGTATCCTCCGAGGACAGGACAGCTTTGGGGCCTGCATTCTAATCAGGGGACTGAGCCTTGCCCAGACCCAGGGACGCACCCTCCACCTGCATCCTCATCAACAGTGAGCAGAGGGACAGAGGCTCCRGCTGTTGTGCTCTACCTGTGGGCCCCCTACCTGGTCCACAGGGTCTCCTGTATTATCAGCCCTAAGACCAGGAACAGGGTGAATTCCTCTTTCCTCACAGTAAGTGGAGTGTCAACAATTGCTATGAATGTTCTGATGTTTACCGGAGAGAACAGCTTCCAACTGGCCCAGAGGTGACTTACCTTGATGTTCGACTGAATCATTGGCAACCACATAGGTATCAGCTGCACAGAGAGAGACAGAAGCCTCATTATTATTGTTCTCCACTTTCCCACACAGGCTTCCCTGACTGCAAGGGAGCACAGCCCATGCTGGAGCTTTTTATACTGTGCGCGGAAGCAGCCCCCACTGCGCAGCTCTCAGTCCCCAGCAAAATGTCTTTCTCAGGCCAAACCCCACTGAGCCAGTGGCATTTGGAGGTTAATAAGCACCCCCTGAGTGCCTGAGACACACACTTTAGAGCAAATGACTGTCTCTTGAAAGCTACCAAACACAGGAAATTAAATGTGTATTTATTTAATTAAGCCCTCACTTTCTTGAAATAGAATTTCCTCTATGGGCTCTTCAGAACTGAGTCTCTGAGAGGAATGGGGACTCTTCTAGCCTCTAGTCATTAGCAGATACCACTGGGCAGCAGACAGAATCCTCCAGTGATAGAGAAGGCACCCCTGGAGGTGCTGGCTGTGATTTGGAAGGGACAATTCAGCAAGATGGAGCTGGTCATCTGTAAAATGTGGGTGTGCACATAGGCAAGCAGCAAGTCCCTGCTGGGGTGACTAGGCTCTGCTGTCCCTCTGATGTGGCCCTTCCATGGAGCACAGGAGCCTAGGCCCCACTGCCTCCAGGAGCAGCTTCCCTCTCTTTGCTTTGGTCTCCTGGTCACACTTCAGTCCTTTAAACTATAAGTAAATATTCATGGCCTTGTACAACCAGAAGTCCAGAACAGAATGTGACATTTCCCACAGTGGGTTCCACAGAAACCAACCTGGGTGAGGTTTCAATGACTTAGGGGACTATGAGCCAACAAGTTTGGAAGTGCTAGTTTATTTCAGAACTTCTGAGACCTTTAACAAGCTATACATCATATCATTCCATTCCCTGTTCCTTCCAACCTTCCACTCTAACATAGAGTAGGGTTGCTTTGGATTAAATCATGTGTCCACAAAATTCACGCTGTGCCTTGAATTGGACCATTTTTGGAAATGGAGATGAAGATGTAGTTACTTAAGTTGGGGTCATACTAAAGCAGGGTGGACCCCCAATCCATATGGCTGGCATCCTTATGAAGAGGGGAGGCTGGACACAGACACACACAGGTACACTCAGGGAGAATGCCACCTGAAGACGAGGGCAGAGATCCACAAATCAAGGAATGTCAAAGCTCCTCCAGAGGTAGGAGGGAGAGAGGAGCTCAGGAGGGGCCCGCCCTTCCCACACCTCAATCTAGTCATCCGGCCTCCAGCAATGGCAGGAGAGCAGGCTCTGCGGTTTTTGTGACAGAGGCCGTAGCAGGTCAATTCAAGGCCCTCCAGGAAGCAAAGAGAAAGTCTGAGCACAGGTCCGAGGTGGGAGTGCACAAGGCAACGAGAGGCAGGACAGACCCACATGGTGATGGAAGTGAGGTTTACAGGAACATGTCGGGACAAGGAGTTTAGAGAAGCAGAGGCCAGGCCACTAGGAATCGGCCTAGTGATACCTCAGATGACTCTGGAGGCCCTGTGAGGGACCTGGAGTTTAATCCAGATCCCTACAACTTCTGAAGAGGGGTGCCCCCTTCACCATGAGCAGGGACAGCTTCTGGGCTTGGAGAGAGATTCTGCCTGCACAGACACTCCCTTAAAAACAAACTTGCTTGAACTGATAAACTGCATTTCTCCCTGTTTTTGTTTCCAAGGCTAAATCTGGCTATTATTCTACTTTTAAAATTCTGTTAAGATATATAGTTGCTAACTTGCATTGACATTTAGTCCTCAAAATTCCTAAACACAGTGTTTATGCTGCAGTCAGCYACCACTCTATGGCTAACATAAACACTGTGTTTAGATATGGAGCATGGTGTACCAAAAGATGTGACTGGACTAAAACAAAATCACACCCTCTCTATGCTTCACTTAGCCTGGAACTCTCATTAAAAAAGAAACAACAAATTAACAAAAAACACCAAACCATGAGATTACAAAGGTTGGTGCCAGGTAAGGTCATGCCCTCTCTGGCCCTCTCTGAACAGGACTGCTCAGCTAAACATTCTGAATGGCAAAAAGTAATGAGTCAAACCATCTCCCCACACAACATCTGCATAGCAGAAAGCAAGCCCTGGGGGTCCTCATGTCTATAGACTTTGGCTGACTCTGACTATTTCTTATGGAAGAAGGCCTATATTTCTCAATTCTGGGGAAATACTTGAAACAACCTCCTAATAAAAATCCTGAGAGACTTGGGAAGGGGAGGGGGGTGGCCCTGGGTGGACTTTGTCTCCAGTAATGTCACTGGCACTAAGGGTACAGATAATGCAAACAAGGAGAACAGTGATGTTGGTTCTAAAAGGGTCTTTGTTCTCTTCCTACTGATGTAACATGTGATCATATAATTCTAAAATATGCCTGCAAGGGACTCTCAGGTTTGTGACTTAGAAATCACATGACTGAAGGCATCCATTAAAGCTCATCACTACTGATAGCATTATATAACCCCATAGTCATCCTATTTCAGGAATGCTAATTTGACTTACTGAGTAATGTTCATTTTAGTTCTCTTTTTGCTAGTGGTTTCTACAAAGCTGTCAGTAAGAATTAGATGTAACTTATTTTGGGCTCTGTAATGTTATAACAAAGCTGGTTGAGTTTTTTTTTCTCTCTCTAAAAACAATATCCAGAAAACTGAAGGGCACTGAAAAAATATGCTGTTTCTCACCAAAATAAAAGTGATACCTTTTCTCCTAACTTGATTTATGCTACAGAACAAATCGAAAACTTCCTATTTCATTAGACTGTATTCATTTCACCAATGCCTGTTCCTGCCCTCAGAATTAAAGATGATGGTAAAACCATCTCTATCAGCCAAGACCAGACTACCTGAAAGAACTGCAAAGTACAGACAAACTATGTGAAACAGTGATTTTTCAGATATCGAGCATCAGGTAATGCAGGACAGAGAAACAAACAAGGTGAGCCCTAGCTCACTGTCTGGAGAGAGTTTTCCAGGTAGTAACACATCAGGAGGAACCCAGGTGGAGCCCAGTAGTCTTCTTGGATTAAGATGCAGCTGAGGTTCAGGAGGTCAAGGGTAGATTTGCAGGGTACAAGACTGGAAGGGAGAGATTTGCAGAGAGAAAGAAAGAAAGAGAGAGGGAGGGAGAGAGACACAGACAGATATGCAAAGGGATCCCTTTGAGTCTTCAGCTGAATACTAACCAATGTACACAGGTAAGAAAATGACCCAGTACTGAAGATAAAATCCATGGTGGTCACATAAGGTCAAGAATAGTTTGTGTTCCTACTAGTCACAGTTGAAAAATCTTGTAATCATATAACATTGTACTCATAAGGACACTGGTAATGCAATAGTAGTACTCAGTAATTATTTGTTCAAAAAGTTCTGCTCTTATCCACCTAACAAAACTTAGACGTAATTTAGCTTGTGAGTATTTATTTATTTATTTATTTATATAAATTAAAAAAAAAAACCCAGCACCCAATAAAGTCAAATTCACAACGTTAAGAATCCAATAAAAAATTACCAGGCATAAAAAGCAGCTCTTAGCAAATACAAAACAAAATTGATATAATCTTTGCATTTTATCAGMTCATAATGGGATGAAATTAGAAATCATTACATCGACAAAGTATATAAGTGTATAAACTAAATGAACACATGGAAATTAAACAATACACTTTTGAACAATGAATGGGTTATACAGAAATCAGGGAAGAAATTTTAAAATTCTTAGAATCAAACTATAATAGCAATACAATGTAATCAGAATATTTCGGACACTAAGAAGAAAGTTTATGGCTATGAGTGCATACAGAAGAAAATCAGAAAGATGCTAATAATCTAATGAAGCATCATCTCAAGGCCCTAGAAAAACAAGAACAAACCAATTCCAAAAGTTATCAGAAGGAAGGAAATAATTAAGATCAAAGTCAAAATCAACGAAATACAGAATTTAAAAAATGCAAAGAATGAGTGAAGCATTGGCTCTTTGAAAAGATGAACAAGACTGATAAACCCTCAGACAAACTAACCAAAAGAAAAAAGTGAGAAGACACAAAATAATAAAATTAGAGGTGAAAAAGGAGATATTAGCATAGATATCACAGGAATCCTGAAGATCATTATGGGCTATTTGGATATGTTGAACAATCTGGAAGAAACCAATATATTTTTATACACATATGATCTGCCAAACCTCTTTTAATAGGCTATAGAAAACCTAAACAAACTAATAACAAGCAATGAGATTGGAACAGTTTTAAAAAACCTTCCAACAAAGAACAGCCTGGGACTGAATTCCACCAGACCTTTAAGAAGAATTACTACCAATGCTCCTCAATTATTCCATGAAATAGAATAGGGTGGAACACTTCCAAATTCATTCTAGGAAGCCAGTATCACCTTGATACCAAAACCAGACAAGGACACATTAAAAAAAGAAAACTACAGATTAATATCCCTGATGAACATAAATAAAATATAAGCAAATTATAGTCAACAACATTATGAAGATTGTACATCATGACCAGGTTGGTTTCACTCTAGGGCTGCAAGAATCATTCAACATACACAAATCAATAAATGTAATTCACCATGTAAATAAAATTAAGGACAAAAATCACATAGTCATTTTAATAAATGCAACAAAATTTAGCACCTATTCATGAAAAAGACACTGAAGAAACTTAGAAAGAATTTACCTCAATATCATAAAGGTTACATATGACAAACTCAAAGCCAACACCATAGTGAATGGGGAAAAACTGAAAGTATTTCCCCTAAAATCTCGAATAAGAATGGACGTCAACTCTCACCACTCCTATTTAATGTAGTACTTGCAATTTTAGCCAGAACAATTAGGCAAGAGAAGGAAATAAAAGGTTCACAAATATGAAAGAAGTCAAAACATCATTGTTTACAGTTGACATGATCCTTTTGTTAGAAGATCCAAAAAACTCCACTGGAAGACTGCTGGAGCTAATAAACAAGTTCAACAAAATGGCAGGATATA